ACTTGCTGTATTTTTAGTCTATTCGTAGAATCTGAGCGAACCATATCTACATATGTAATTATATTTTTCTTGCTGTAATTATCTCCAACATGAAAAAGATTTGAAGGAGAAGCTAGAGGTGAAATTTTTTGAGCTTATTATTCCTTGTGGAAATTCATACTTTTATCAAATTTTGAATAATGTGTCCTTTTAAGTTTTTGTCCCTCTTTTTATCTCTGTACCGTAAGTATCTGTGAAGATCATTGGCTAAGTCAGCTCTTTCCAATATTGCCAACCTGCTTTTCGGAGATTTTATCCACTCTGTTATCCATGAGAGGAAGCTGCCTTTATGATACACTTTAAAATTTGGAAGATCAAGGCCGCCTCTCCCTTTGCAATCTTCTAGGATTTTCTGTTTGATTTTAAGTCTTTTCCTAAGCCAGGGGTGTCAAACTCAATTTCATTGAGGGCCACATCAGCATTGCGGTTGCCCTCGGGGGGGGGAGGTGGGTGTGGCCAGGGTGGGTGCGGCCTATGGGTGAGCGTGGATGGAGTGGGTGTGGCCTACTGGGTGGGCATGGCCAGCTCTACATCGTTCGCATCATGGGAGCCTGTGGGGGCCTGGGCAGGAGTGGGACAGATCTGAGGGTCTCTGGCAGAAGGGGGTGGGACCGGGGCAAGTGCCAAGGCATGGTCCATTTCTTCATTCCTCACAAAGGGTGACACCTCTCCAGCATGCACCCAGGGGGCAGGGCCGACGCGGCAGGGGCTGGTTCCTCGCTGTTTCTAGACGGCCTTGTGGAGCTAAGACTGAATGCGTTTCAGCATAGATGGCCACCACAAAATTGTACATTGGCTCCTGGCCGGCCAGGGCCAAGGCAGCGGGGGCCGTTCCCTCACTGTTTCCAGGATGGCTTTGCGGGCCACATCCGGCCCCGGGGCCTTGTATTTGACATTTCTGTCCTAAGCCATATGATTTACTGACAATTACCTCCATTCTTGTTAAATGCTCTCTGAAATTCTGATTGGTGCCATTTGAAATAAATTGATAATACATTCTTTTTAATAATTGTAATATATTCTAATCAAGATAGCTTTAGGTTCTTCCATCTTTCAAGGTCTCTTTTAATCCCTTACCATAATTTAATGTAGATGTTTTGATTATTTGAT